AGACGATCACCTGACAGGAATCCTTCCCTCCCTCCTGTAAACCAGCGCATATCATGTTTTCAGTGATGGTGCTTTCTCCATAGCTGCACTTGCACTGTCTGTTCCCCACAACCGGTACCTTTACCTCCATCAGGTTTTGAGGAGAAGGAAGAGGGACTGAGGAGAAAAATCCAGATTTAATAAACAAATTTTTTCACCTGTTGGGAGTTAAACATTAGATTCTCTCTTCGGTTCTCTCTATATTGTTGGTTTTCCACCCACCTCCACTTTCAATGTTTCCCCAGCCAGTTATCCATGAGTGAACTCCGGTGTAGAAGGTGCTGTTTTGGGTAGCTAGGCAGACTGGTAAGATAAAGCTGGTGAAACTTACTGGTTCAGACAGCTTTAGTAGTGCAATATCGTTGGTTAAGGTTGCAACATTAAAATCAGGGTGAATGGAGATCAGTGATACTGTCCGATTGACTTCATTTGGGTTGGATCCCTCCTGACTCTGACGACCCAGATATACGGTTATTAAAGATGATGACCTATCAGGAAATCAGAAAAAAAATAGAAATTAACAAGAAATTGGTAGATAGGGGACAGGTTTTGATCGACCAACTGACTGACCAACCTGCCTCACCCCCATTTTAAGAGCCGATCAGTTATTTGGCTGTGAAGTTAGGTGTTTCCAGTGTAATTACTTACTGACTGACACAGTGAGCAGCAGTTAGGACCCACTGGTCATTAATCAGAGATCCTCCACAGAAGTGTCCAGATCTGTGCAGACTGACCTGCCAGGGCCAGCTGCCTGCAGGAGCTGTCTCTCCTCCAACAATCCTAGTGTTAAGTAATGGTTTACCACATACTAAGAAAAAAAGGAGAATTACTTTTTAATCTTACTGCTGTATAAGCCACCAGTTACAACAGCAACAGTAGGTTTGACTTACCCATGAGCTGGCAGTCACACTCTGAAAAATTAAGACAAAATGTTTAATTTTCCTTATGCTACAACCTTTTGCAAAATGAAAGAAATAACTACTGATTAAAGCATATAGGATGTGTAGCACTCATATACGAATACAGTTTCTTGCTATTAATGAAATGGTTTTATGAAAGCAACAGACTTCCTTATCCTTATTCCTTAGTGCTATTCCAATTCACAAGAACACAAAACTGAGAACGGCTGACCGAGAACCCCAGATGTTGTTGTTGCCCCTCCCCACTTTACCAAATGGGCATCAGAGCAGACTTGCCCGTTCTTGAGATTGACAGCTGTCCCAGCAGGCAATGCGGCAGCAGCAGCTTCCAGGGAAGCGCACACAGAGTATTAAGTTAAACGTTCTCTTTTCTGTTGCTGTTGTTCTATAAAAGTAAGTTCTGAAATCATTTCAGGTTAGAACAGTTTACTTTTAAGCATCACTATATGGCCCAATTACTAATTTAGTGCACAATTAAAAAAAAAAAAGTTCAGATGTTGAGATAAGGTGACAAGATTTCTGAAATAAAATCTGGGGACATTTCCAGCTCGTTGATAAAAAAAAAAAAAGAGACATTTTATCAAATAAAGAAACGGGGACAA